TACAGCAGCTAGCAGCATGGTACAGGCATATCGAAAGGTATCTATTCCCCTTGCAGAGCTGAGATTCTACATTAGCTGCCCCGAAAACAATCCAGAGAAGGATTTGGGCATGAACAGGATGCTGGCTATAGATAAAATGTGTGTGATTATATACACTTGGTAGTTCCAACATATGATTTCAGTCTGTCTTTAAAGTCCTACTGATGTGAACACTACCATGAAGTAATATTCATCGTTTTTTCTCTGTCATTTAAACACATAGTGTCCATTAAGATGTAGATACATAAACAACTACGTGCATGAGAACAGGTACACATAGCCTAATTCACATCTGCACGGATGTACCATGTATGTATGCTCTCATTAGCTTTCCAAAGGTGATTATAGTCAACTTAGTACTTTTACCTACATGGGGTGGTATTTCTGAAACAGATGAAGAAAAAAGAGCAGTTTAGAAATGACAGCTCTGCAGCAAATCATGTTCTTGTTCAGTATTAGAATGTTAAACTATGCCCCTGAGAGCTGCTTTGGAAAGGAACACTTAAATATTGTCCTCCACAAAAAGTATACTGGAACAATAATGTTTCATAAAAAACTATAACTAAAATATTCAAAACATCCTTGGATTTGCTCCATCAAAATCATGCCTTTTTTTTTTCTTTTTTTTTTTTTTTTAATATTAACACCAATGGCAGTATCCATTTCTAACTATTCCCTTCCTTGAACACCATTAACTGCTAGCAAAACAGGGACACAGCTGAAGACAAGCAGGCTTATTTTACTAAATAATGTAACTAGTTATTTTTGATGTATTAGTCTGATTTACAGTTTCTGAACAGATTTTTCATTTTAAGTGCAAAAAGTTGATTTCTATGGTCTGGTTGATGTTTTTTCATGCATGCAAATTTTTTAGAGAACATTTTGTCTTTAGCTTCCTGTTATGCACATTTTTAAGAGCTTAATGTTTCCTGCCTCCACTTAATATAAAAGAACATTGCACATTTTTGCTGAATGTCAATGAGATAGTTACATTACAGAAATCGTGCCTCACGATACTGTGACTAGGTATCAGCAGAATTCCACCCCATATTGGAAAAGAGTTTAATTAATATAATGCAACCAACATAAAACAGAACGTCCCCAAAATACAATGCAAAGGGGAAGAAACTCAACCCCCAGTAAATATCGAATTAAGCAGGGCTCTCCTATTTAAAAGATAACTAAAATAAAATAAAATGGAAAAGTCTTGCAGAGGCTTCATAAATACATTTACAATTAATTTAGATCAGTTAATAGGAGTTTTGTCTCATCAGGCAGGAGACAAAGCAGCATCTCTCCCTAAGCACCTTCAGCACTTTACTAACGAAGTTACAGTACATCGGAATATTTTAATCTGACACAAAGAACAACAATAGATCTGACTGCTGGTCTGATAATCTTCTTATCACACCCTGTGAAACCTAGCTCTAATATTTGACTGAGCCTCCATTACTCGGCAACACATTCTAAAAAGGCCAACAATGGAGAGAGAATGAAGTGGAGTGTGGAAGTACCTCCATATCTACATAAAAGAGATTAGAGGCGACAGCGTTCCATTTTACAGCTCAATCATATTGTGTTAGCATGCGCTTATCCGAGCGCGGATGAAATTGAAAGAGAAATAAAAAAGAGTCACGCAGATAGGAACCAGAAAAGCGAAGCATGAGCAATTTCCAAGGATATAAAAGGATGCTAATGGCGGGGCCCTGTCATTCTTAAAAAGGGCTATTAGGGCACCATCATCTGTTCTTGTGCCCTTACGCTCCTCTAACTAAAGTCAAGCATTTCCTAATGCCATTGTGATCTTTTTCTTCTTCAGATAAGACATGGTCATGTTTCATAACAACACACTTTCCATTTATTTGATTTATAAATGCAAGGAGGCTAATTCTATTTACTGATAAAGGCTTTCCATATATGTTTTTCTTTCAATATTTCCTTTTGTAGATGGCATAGACTTTTTGTTCAATAAAAGCAACTATTGAAATGTTTCCAATAGCACAAAAATACTAATGATTTTATGAAAGCATTTGAACTTTGTATAATTTTGAAACATTTTTTAGTCCAGGACTGCAATGGGAAACAGTTGGCCAGGGCAGAATGCATATTCCATTGCTACCTTTTTATAGATAATCTCATTAAAAGACTTTCTGTTACAATAGCAAAAACATTATTTTGATTTCTTCCACAAAGACAAATTTTACTTTGAAGTACAATACTTTACAATCTCTTTCTTTACAGTGAGATCTTTATTAGTTATTAAGCACCTGATATATAGGGCCTTTAATTATACTGAACCTTAAGAAATCACCATAGTAAAGAAAGATTTGCTGATTGCTGCTTTGCTGTGCTAGGCACAAATTCACTACTGGTATAATTAATCGATTCCAAGAGATTTACACCAAGGATTTACTTAGTCCACTAAGCTACTTTCCTGCAATTTGCACTCTTCTTCTAACTCTTCTTTTTTCCCCATTCTGTTGTGTTTCTGCCTACAGTAACATTTGTTAACTTAGAAAACAGTCAGCTAACACCAATCCAGGCTCTTCTACAAGTTGTTTTGTGCCAGTCATTAGCTGAGCGCAGGCAGTCCAAGTTCTGCAGTACTCCATCACTCAAAACCAAGCTACAAAAGCTCATCACATTTGCCTTTTAGCACATCAAGCCCTTTTGCATTTTGATTTTTGTGATCAAATTCCAAGACAACAAGCACAGATTTTATCACTGCCCTCTGTTACCAGAAGGCTTATAAAAGGATTGTCT